TTTCTTCCCCCCTCCCCTGCATTGGACCCCACTCCAACACTACATAGGCAACTTCTCATGTCTGGCTGGATGTGTCCCTAAAGTTTGTCTAGAAAAAAAAAAAAAGGTGTTTGGGTCTTGGAATACATCTTTCCATAGAACTGACAGATTGGTGGGTGCAAACCATTTAGTATACATGCTTCCACACCGAGCACTAACAAGGATGAGTGCTGATATTATAAAAGCTCTCCCCACTCCCCATCAGCCCACATATGGACAGAAAGGAGGACTCATGAGCCTTCACACCCACCCTGGCACTGGGTGCCGGCAGACACTTCCTTTCTGAGTCCTTGACCTATAAGACTCCAGCCTTAGCTGTCCTGAAGGCCAAATTCACCAAAGCCTGGTCTCTCCCATTTTTCGTTGCTTATTGGGACCTCCATCTGGACCTTCTGGCAACTTCTCTCTGGCCAAACCCACTATGCTCCAAAGGAAAGAGCCCAAGGCCAGAGGACCAGGAGGCCTGGGTTCTGTCATGAGCAGCTGAGCCTGCTGCTGGACTTTACCCTTCTCCAGAGTAAAAAAAAGGGGCATGCAAGAAACTACCCATGGCTCCCTCCTGATTCCAGAGACTCAGCCACCCTCATTTGCCTTTCCTCTTCCAAGTCCCTCCAAGCTCTCATGCTGCTAACAATTGCCTCCTTCTTCTCCCAGCAAACTAGCACAAAATGTCAGTGTCCAATTTGACTCTTTTCTCCCTCCCTCAAATCCAATCAGTCACCAAATCCTTCAGGATTTCTTGGCAAGCTCACTCGCTTCTGTTTCCTCTTTTCCATCTCTACTGCCATTCCCTTGATTTAGGTCTTAATCTACTTCAGTGGGTTAGTCCAACAGTGCATTTTCACAAGTTCTCCTCTCCCTCCAGTTGCCCTTCCCCACCCAGAATCCTTTTCAAAGCTCAGCTTTCACAAGTCTTATCCATATTCAAAGACCTTCAAGGTCATCGAAATAAAATTTAAATCCTTTAGCTTCAACTTTCAAGGCCTCCCCCCCCCCCCCCATCTATCCACAGCCTAAGGCTATAGCCCCACCTCTCCGGATGTCCCCTCTCCACCTTACCCTATGACTCTAGTCATGTGGGCCACTCCCCATTGGGCTTGTCCTAGTCTTTCACGTTCTAGTCTTATTGCCTCCCTCGTCTCCTACACAAAATAACCTGCCCCTTAACTCTTTACTGAGGCAAACATTGCAAAAACCAGCTAACTCTGTCACAAACTCTTCCAGAACATCTGCCACGTACAGGCTGCACACAAGGGCTGATGCAGCCCTAGAGCAGCTCAGAGTTTGCAGGGAGTGTGGATAGAGATATGCAAATGAGGTGTCTAAGTACTGCAACAGAGATCTGTATTTGATCTATACATATGCAGTAGGAGAGAGAAGAGTAAGCATGATGTGGGGGTGGGAGAAGGAGAGGTGTTTTAAGAGTTTGATCTACATTGATGTGAAGGATTAATAAGAGTTAGTGCATCTGGCAGAGCAGAGACCAAAGGGCCTTCCAGGAAGAGGAAGTAGTATTTGCAAAGGCCTAGAGACACAAAAGCAGAGATGGGGACAGTGGAGATGCAGCTGGGGAGCTAAATTATCGCCAGCTTCTGCAGAGCCCTGGATGCCATACAAAGATGTTACACTTTCTCCTTTCAAAGAGGCAATCTTATCCCATCTGTGTCTAGACTTTCTTTCTACAGGTGTGTTACAGAGGCCAAGATTACCATACAAGAGAAAACATGGCGATTAAAAGCATCGGGCGCAATGAATGCCCAGTTATCGGTGTGCAGACCAGTGTAGGTGACAGAGAGAGGAAATGAAAGTAAGAATGATCAAGGAGCACCAAAGTAAGAATTACCTAGAAGCACGAAACAGGTATCACACATTTCCTGAAGACAAAGCTGAGAGTTAGCAGCCCCCTGGAACTCTTGGGGCCATTTGGTTGTAAAGCTAAACAGATGCTCTTGGACAGCGCCTCCCAGATTATTTCCCTGGTGCCTGAGAGATAAGAATGGATCTCCTGAAGATCCGCAGGGCTGAACTAGACCTGGCTTTCCGGGTACCATCATGAGACACATTCTGGTCTTAGAAGTATTGAAGCCAAAGAATGATGCCAGGAAACATAAAGTGGAACTGCTCTGAGGAAGGAGGAAGCAGGAAAAAATAGTGACGCAGGAAAACACAAAGCTGCCAAATGTTTTAGCCTCGTTGTGCCCACACCAAGTGGTGACAGGGTCACTTCGTTTTTCCCCTGAGTGTCACCTCTTGAATGGGGGTGCCCCATCGGGGAGCTTAACAAATGCTTAAATGCCTCCTAGTGGATTCACATTAGCCCTTCCTTCTCATACTTTGCAATAGGTCCTCCACCAGAGGATTTTAAGCAGGGAAGTGCCATGAACAGATTTGTATTTCAGGAAAACAATTTTCTGGTGGCCAGGTAAAAAATAACTTCAAATCTTACCCCAAATGTGATAGTCCTAAGTGCATGCTATCCCTCCTCCAAAGCTGGATTGTCTCTCTTTCATAAAATAAAAAAAATAAAAAAATAAAAAAATAAAAAAAATTTTTTCATTAATTTCAGAGAGGAAGGGAAAGGGAGATGGAAACATGAATGATGAGAGAGAATCATTGATTAGCTGCCTCCTACACGAGGAGGATGAGCCCACAACCTGGGCATGTGCCCTGACCACAAATCAAACTGTGATCTCCTTGTTCATAGGTCAACGCGCAACCACTGGGCCACACAGCCCGGGCCAAAGCTGAATTCTCTCAGACTCGTTCTTCCCTCCTCTCTTGGCCTGTGCAGTCAGTTCAAGAGACTGACAGGGCTTATTCCCTAGCCCCCTGTCTTATAGATTCTCTCTCCTTGCCTCAGTTTCCCACTATCTCACCCCAAATATAAGGCCTCATCACTTCTATCCAAATTGACTTCCCAGGGTCCTATCTGTGGTCTCCACCCCCAGGGTCTTTGCCCCCTGGTCACTGCTTCCCACGGCATCGCCAAGAGTCCACCACAGACAAGGGTCCACCACAGACAAGAGTCCACCACAGACGGTCCCAGCCAGCCTTCACCTGGGGAAATCAGCATTACCTGGGGAAACTTGGTTCAAAATATCCCAAACATACTTAACATGAATAGTTTAAAAGCTCCCCCAGGCGATTCTGAGGCATAGCCAGGTTTGCAAACAACAGCTCTAAATCCTGGTTATAGATAGCGAAGGGCTCTCACAACCTAGGAACAGGTTAGAAATGCAGAATGTCAGGCCACACCCTTGACCTAGAGATCAGAATCAGCATTTGAACAAGATCCCCAGGCGATTCTAAAGCTTGTTACAGTTGAGCACTGCTCTAAAGTGTTGCCTGGCCATTCATCCCACAATACCAGTATTTGCTGGGTTTTCTCCACAGCAGATAAGGGTTTGGGAAGCTGGGAGGGTCTAGGGCAAAGGTCCCTGGCTTGAAGCTCACCGAAACATCCATCCTTCCCCCGCTTAAGGCCTGTTATTGGCTTCTATGCTTTCCAAGTCCAGACTTCACCACCTGCTGGAACCATATTTTTTCATCCTTGTCAACTTTATTGCCTCCCACCCCATAGGGGCCCAGCTGGACAACTTGCCACTTCTCAGGGCTAGCTGGTGCTTGCCTGCTACATAGCTCCCACAGCCCAGGTCACACACTGCCCACCTCTGCCTGGAGAAACTCAGGAAATATTCTTCGAGGTCCATGACATACATGACACCCCTTTGTTGACATTATCCCAGATTTTCTCTGCTCAGATGAAAGACAGGAAATCCCACAACTCTTTGCTCATACTTCATGCGCTGGGTAAATAGTCTGGGAGGTTAACACATTTGCTATAGTTACCCCCGGTAAAGAAGTGATCATGATACTGTTTGTCTCCCCAGTAGCAATAAGCTAGTAACTGGCACATCCTCTAATCTCAAAGAAATAATAATAATGTGTTAAATGTATCACCCATAAAGATGCATTTGAGCAGAATACAGATGGGCTGCCTCTCTTAAGCCCCAAAGAGGAACATAATCTCTAAACCAAATAATATTATGTATTTTCCATATACAAATAATAACCAAAGACTGGAACATGCTGAAGATGAATTCATTATTTTTACAGCCAATTACCTTTCTGTAGCTGGGCATTTTACTCCACAAAATGCAATAAAATGTGGAAACACTTCAGGTTTGTATATAATCAATTAAGGAACTGGGAGAGGAAAGAGAGATGAAGAGAAAGACAGAAGTAGACCCAATCTGGCAAGGGAGGTGGATCTATACCAAATACCCAGCTGCTGTACATGTAAAAACATCATACTCTGGATTTACTTTTTAAAAGAATTAAAAAAAACTAAAAAAAAACAAACAAAAAAAACGACCAGAATGCCTGTTTCGACGCCACCCAAACTTTGAAAAGTTCTGGTTTATAGCTACAGAACTTTATTTTTATTTGAGGGCAAACGGGGGTCTGGAGCGGGATGTCAGGAGGGAGAGGAGGAGCCCACCTTCAAGTAGGACCAGCCCCTTCCCGCTGTCTACTGGGAGGCAGTGGCTTGAGAGGTTCAAACGCCTGTTGCCTTTTTGCAATTACAGTATAGAGTTGGTCTCAGCCAAGGCTTAGCATCCGGACACACGCTCCGCTCCGTCAAACACAGATTTCCTTGGGCAAACAGACCGTCACAAGTTCCCGACCACCTTGGGCTCTCCAGATCACGCTGCTGCTCCAGCTGACCGGGCAGAGCCGACACACCACGCAGCACCGAAGGGACGGCCACACGGCGCATCTCCAGGGACCTCCCAGCACCTGGAGCGGCGCAGAGTGTCCCCAGTCCCGGGCAGAGCAGGGTGCAGGTTCCGAGCAAATCCACAGGAGTTACACCGTCCTCCCAGGCTTCTAGCCAGAGAAGGGGAAGAGGGTCCCGACCTCGCCTTCGGGACCCGCTCTGACGCCATCCTGCCACTGACCTCTACTCCGCGCGTGGTTCTAGGACCGGGGGCTCTCCGTGCCCCAGGCAATGCCAGATCCCCGCGGGGTCTGCAGCGGGCCCGGGGGCGTGGAGAGAGCCCACTGACCTGGGTGCGGGACTCCTCTCCGGGCGGCTCAGGTGTGCGGGCCGCTCCCGTGTCCTTCCCACCTCCGAACATGAGCGCTGGGAGCCGAGGTGCAGGTCACTGACCCACCGACCAACTGACCGACCCACCACCAGCGGAGCGACCGGCGGTGGCCGGGTCTGGAGCCCACGTGACGGGGGCGGGGACCCACGGAGGCTCATCCCGAGGCGCCCGCTGCTTCCCCCGCCTTCCTTCCCCGGGGACCGCCCTCCGGCCACTCCCCCGCCCTCTCCCTACGCCGCCGTGAACCGCTGGACCTTCCTCCGCAGGTTCGGGTTCCCTAAGGACCGGCCTTGTCGCCCCGCCCCTACCGAGCCTCGGCCCCGCCCCTCCCGAGCCCCGGCCCCGCCCCCGGCTGCGCTCCGAGTTCCCAAGCCCCGCCTTTCCCGGAGACCACGCCCCTCCTGGCCCCGCCCCGCCTGTCACCTTCCCGTCCCCGCACCCTTCGCGCCCCGGAGGCCGCCGGAGGGTTCCCCGCTCTCAGTCCTGGGCTTCCCGGCCCTTCAGCACCATGACCCCCGGCGGGAAAGGATGAACACGGGGAAGCAGAGAGGGAATTCATGCCGCGAATGGCAGAGGAAGAAGCCACAGAGAAACCGATGAGAGGCACACACTGCACAAACGACACTTTGGATGTCCCGACTCCCGGACCGGTGCGATTCTGTCCCAGTTGAGGTTAGCCAGAGGGAACCCTCTTATTCCCTGTCTCCCCTGTCCAACCCCAGCCTGCCCCTCAGTGTGGAAGAAAGGCTCTGAGGCACCAGGGTCCTCATGCGCTTGAGTCCCTGGACTTGGGGTGGAGGTCCTTCTAGCGGTCAGCGCCATCTAGAGGCACTGGTGCCTGTCCTGTGAACAGCTGAGGACAAGAAGCAGCTCCAGGGGCCCAGCAGCACCAAGGATGGAGTCCACAGGCCCAAGAAAAGCGTTGAGGGTCTGACCACAATGATGGATTCTAGAATCTGGGCAGGACCGGGCCCTGAAGACCCAGTCCAAAGCCTTCCCCTAGTGCAGTGATCGCAAACTCGTTAGTCAACAGAGCCAAATATCAACAGTACAGCACTTGAAATTTCTTTTGAGAACCACATTTTTAAAACGTAAACTTCTTCTAATGCCACTCCTTCAAAATAGACTTGCCCAGGCCGTGGTATTTTGTGGAAGAGCCACACTCAAGGAGCCCAAGAGCCGCATGTGGCTCTTGAGCCGCAGTTTGCCAACCACGGCGTATGGCCGGAATCCCCATTGGTTGAACTGCTAGGTTGTTGCCCTGCCTAGGCCTCCAAGTACTAGCTGCTCGGTTCAGCTGATTAAAATCCCTGTGTGGGCCTCAGATGGCAGCGACACCAGGGACTCTGGCATAGGCCCCAGCTCTGGCAGGAGTCACCACAGACCTGGTCTCGGTTTTTGTTTTGTTTTTTCTCTCTACGTTTCCACAGGCCAGAGTGTTGACAAACGCCACAAGACACATCTTTTTTCAAATTTCCCCGGTGGTCTGAAATTACCAGTGTGCCCAGAAGGTGTACATAGGAACAGAACTTAAGCCAGCCTGGCAAACATGAGACTCCAGCCACTGCAGGAACCTGGCCAGGAGCAGACTAAAGGCAAAGCCAGCAGAGGAAGGCTGGGGCCCACAAGAGTTGTGTTACAGCAGGACACCCTCCAGTTCTCTTTCACTTCCTTAAAATAGCAGCAGGGAGGCTTCTGTGGAGGAGGCCGAAGTGGTTCACACGAGTCCATGGGTGTTCCCAAGTCCCACATGTCATTGCCCCATGGGACCCACTGCCCAGCCCCCAGCCCCCAGAAGAGGCTAATCTGTTCTCAGAACGATGCCATTACTTTTTAAAAAGACACTTTAAAGAATGGTCTCCGTCACTGGCTGTCAGGCGTATTTGCACATTGGAACGGCTTTGGAGGAGGAGGACTCAAAAATGTATCCGGGTCCCACCTCCAGAGGTTCCGATTTGATGGGTTGGGGGTTTGGCATGGCATCAGGATTTTTAAAAGCGCCTCAAGTGATTCCCACGTGCAGTAAAGTTTAAGAACCATTAGGATAGGTCAAAGGGACTTTAATCTGGACTAAAATCCAACAAAAACCCCAGAGCTAAAAGGCGATTTACCTGGAAGAAGCTAAAAGCGTACAAAAGTGGCACGTTAACAGGGGCATCCTGGGGAAAATGTCTTGACCTAAAAGAGTCATTCTAGCTGCAGGAATTTCAGGCACCATGTGGGTTGTTAGTCAAGAGGGCACCCTGCAGAACTATCAATTCACAAAAAACAAAGCATATTACAAATGAAAGGCAGTCTCTCCTCCGTGCTTCCAAAGGAACCATGTGGCCAGGACTTCCACAAAGCCCCATTCGCCAATAACTCCACTCTCCCCTCCTCCGTGAGACAGCTCACCTCCCTTCTCCCTGGAAAATGGGTAATTTTCTTTTACCCATAGGGTAGGGAATGTCACCAAACCCATGGATGGGTAATATCATCATGTTTATGCATATCCGCCTCATTCCACGATGGATCTGAGCTTTCTGTATCACGCTATATTAGAACGGTGGGTAATTGCAATGTATCCATGGGGTGAGCAATCCCATTCTGCCTAAGATCTACTCAGATGCTACAGAGAAGAAAACCTCTCTTCACTGCCGATGGCCCCGCCTGAGCTTGGCAGAGTCTGGAAAACAGCTGCAAGTACACAAAGCAAGCCCTCTCATGTGACCAACCTGGGAACACAGGGGCCTCAGCACATGACACAGACTGGCACCAGAGCCTGCCCTTGTGACCCAACCCTGACTGAATTGGACTAATGCGTGGGAAAGACTTTGAAGAAGCCCCTCTGGCCAGGCCCAGCTGCCCTCTGTCCCCTGTGCCACATGGCACGCCTGCTGTGGCAAGGAGAGACTTGAAGGCTATCTGGCTTCCGTCCAGATTCCAGAATATTTACCAAGGGCCTCCGTGTATGGAGGCTTGTTCACTGTAAACCCAGGCCTGGACCTCACTCCCTGAAACTGCTCTGCTGGAGGGCATGCAGGCAAATGAACCTGATGAAGTTTGTTTGCTTGGTGTCAGCTTTATTGTATTTCAAGCAAGAAGACAGATGCTGGGGAATAAAGACAAGATGAGGCTAGAGGTAGGGTCCTCACCCGCAGACTGGTGTTCTGGAGGAAGCAGCTTTTGAAAGGCCTATAGGAAGGTCATGTGTGAACATGAAAAGTGGTTAAAGGGAAGACCATTATTTTGGTATGAAATGATAAACGTATTGCTTATAAAGATTGAGCGAGCAAACAACACACATTTTGAATATTTATAAAATACATTTCATTTTCAAAATTGAGCTGTCGGCTGTTAAAGGGTATATATATATATATATATATTTTTTTTTATTTTTTTTTTTGAGACACCCTGTATTTGGTGCTTCCTTGGGCAATGAAAAAACTATGGGACTTGCAGTATTTTATAGCTATGTCTTTCATTTTGTAGCTCTGACATTTTGAATGGCTCACCTAAGCTCTTCTCATCTCTAAAATGGCAACTTTAAAGAGTTATTCTGCATACAACACCATGATAAGAATCAAATTATGTAACAGAGGTGCAAACACATTGCACCTGGAAGGTGGTATTCGAATGTTCATGTGTTTACTTTATTATTATATCTGCCTAGCTTGGTAGAGAGGTAGAGCCAGGGGAAATCTAGATTAAACATCAATAAGAAAGCATACTTTAGTTAAGGCAGTAAACATGGAAGAATATCGAAAGGCATTTGTGAAAGAGGAAAGCATCTGAGCAAAGGCCAGAGGAGAGGAGAGCCAGCACTATTAGAAGGTATCCTGCATTCCTAACTGCTTGGAAGGATAGGGTGGGTAGAGTTAGAGTCAATGCTAGTAAAAGAAAAGGCTGGAAGTAAACTGGATCAGAATGTGGAAGGCCTTGTTTCGATGGGTAATGGAAGTTGTTGAAAATTTCTGAATGACAGACTCTCATTTAAGCTCTTGAAAGATCTCTAAGACAGCAGCACCTGGGAGGATGCACATGCATTCCGACTTCTAGACCCCAAGCCTGTGTGTGATCAGAGGGAGGCAGTATTGCAAAGGGGCGGTGGCCTCAGTGTGTCCTGGAGAGCAGTTTCCAAGGCCAAGGCCAAGGCCAAGGCGCTCTCCCTCCCGCTGCAATGCATTACTTCACAGGCTGCTTTCTCTTGGTCTGGAGTTTGTAAATGATCTGGTTTCCATCATTCCAGGCGTAGAGCTGCTTATCTCTGGCATTGTAATGGATCATGGAATGACTTCTCGGCCGCCTGGGAAAGAACACGTTGGGCAGATCCTCCTCACTGATAGTGCCCCGGGGGTCATAGACACAGGTGACGCGGTGCGGACCGTGGCCGCCGGAACTATAGACCACATAGAGGACCCCACACAAGAGGAACCCAGCTTCCGCATCCTGGCTTCTGCATGGAGTGTCCCATGAGTGTTCCACTCCGAGCGTGCCAGGCTCAATTTTTGTGAGAACCAAATGGCCGTGGAGGCCTGGCCCTGCGTGGATGGCCCAGAGCCCATGCTCATCCACAGCCAGGTCGATGTAAGTTGAAGGGGAGTGCTGGTAGACCAGGGCTCGGCCTGCCCCTCCTGGGAGCAGCATTCGATCCTCCACAGTCCTCTTCTGCAGGCTATACTTGATTATCTCGTTGGGAGTCCCTTGGTTATGAAAAAATAGGAAACCTTTGTAGACCACTTGGCCTGTTCCCTGCCAGGATTGTGGTAAGACCAACTTCCGGGGGCCTAGCTTGGTGCTGTCCTCCAGGAGTGCCCGCATGTTTGCAAATTCCCAAATGGTGTTGTTTCTGGATCCGATTAGGAAATAAACCTTTGGAGAGTCGCTGACAGCATCTTTCATCCAAGAGCCATCTGTGTCCAGAGTCTTCTTCACTATTTTCAGAGACTTTATGCCCATCAGCATGTTGTCACAGCCTGGCCAAACAGGAGAAAAAGGGGTTACTTTATAAACATGAAATATCTGCTTTTCTCAAAGATGGCTTTCCCCCACTTCTTATCTAGAATGAAGTCATCACATAGATCAATGACAATTTTTGGTATGACTCAGTGAATCAAATAATTAAAGAGTAAATGGGCCTCTGTGAAGGGAGTTGCTGTCCAGTTAGAAGAGTCAGC